GGCGCTCCGACACCCGGGCCCGGCGAGGGGAAGCACATCACCCGGGCCCGGCGAGGGGAAGCGCATCTGTGTGTGTGGGGAACGTGTCACGGAACGGGCCACCGCCGGGCCGAGACCCACACACAGCTGAGGTTGGAGCAGAGCAGCCGCCGGGCTGACACACAGAGGGTGCTGGAGACGTGGTACTCTTAGCTTCTACACGTGTGGCCCTCGCTTGAAGCCAGGGGAACCCGGCGAAGGGTTAGAGGTGGGTTCTCCATCTGGAGAAACCGTGCACAGGAACCTTCTGGGCCCCAGAAAGAGCGTCTGTGCGGAGAGTGACCCCACGCTCGCCCGTGACCTCCAATGACCTCACAGCTCTAGTGGTCACCTGGCCAAGTCACTCAGAGAGCTGGGCACCACTGACCCTGGGCGAGAAGCCGAGGCTCCTCGTGGACATGCCTCCGGAACATTCTGCCTCCCATTCCCTTACAGAAAGCCCTCTCCCTCATCGGTCCTTCCCGGAGGCACCCCACTCCTGCCGGCCAGCAGGGGGGGCGGGGGGGCCTGGGCCTCAGACGAGTCCTTGGCCTCGTCCGTCTAGACGCCCGGAGCTGGCGCCGCCTCCCGGACTCGGAGGGGACGCGTCAGGGCCCCCATTCCAAAACCGAACAGTGGCGCACCGACCAGCCACGGGCCAGGTCCGAGGGGCGTGTGCGCACGCACACACGCTCATGCGCGTGAGGAGAGACACGCGGCTACTCACGATCAGAGCGTGGTCTCGGCCCATGGCGATGACCGTCTGGTTCACCGTGCGCAGCAGCTGCACCATGATCTCTTGGATGTGGTGGTAGGTGAAGGCCTGCAACACAGACGGGGAACATCGGTGTGACCGCCGGGCCGACACAGACAACAACAGTGCCAGGACACGGTGACCACCACCACCATCGCCGTGGCCTCTGCTGAGACCCCTCGTCACCACTGCTATGACACCATCGCCACCACTATGACATCATCACCACGACGTCATCATCACCACTGCTGTGACATCATCACCACTATTACATCATCACGGCCACTACCACATCATCACCACTGCTGTTACATCATCACAACTGCTATGACATCATCGCCACTGCTACCTCGTCACCCACATTGCTTCACCCTGTCACCTCACACCCTCACACCCGCACCCTGGCCCCCCCTTGGCTATGTGTGTATTAAGAAACTCTACTTGTTGGCCAGGCACCATTGGCTCATACCCATAATCCTAGCAGCCCGGGAGGCTGAGATCTGAGGATCACAGTTCAAAGCCAGCCTGGGCCAGGAAAATTGAGGAGACTCTTATCTCCAATCACCCAACAAAAGGCCAGAAGTGGCACTGTGGGCCAAGTGGTAGAGCACCAGCCTTGAGTGAAAAAGCTCAGGGACAGCGCCCAGGCTCCAAGTTCAACCTCCAGGACCAGCATGCGCATGTGCGTGCACACACACACACACACGAAACTCCACCAGCCATCCTCGGCATGGGGTGGTGGTAAAGGGCTGGTTCGGACTTGGAGACCGGGACCTTCAGGTTGAGAACACCAGGTCTGATGCAAGTCTGCGGCACCTGATCGGCTCCATCACGCCGTTAGCTCAGCCGGAGAGGGGCTGAGAACCCGAGGGGCAGATGTGCCGCCGTGCGGTCAGTCCTGGCACACCAAAGTCCACGCCCTGCCGAGGGGACACGGCTGCGGCCCCCGCCGGCCGCCAGCCCCCCCGTGGCCCTCCCCACGGCGCCCACACCTCAGCCTTCTAGAACAAAGGGCATTTTCTTCTCATTCCGAGGGATGTCCCCTTCTCTAGACCCCACAGTGTGCGGTGCATCCTGATAACCATCGTACAAAATTGGTGGGATTTTTCCCAGCGCCCGTCGCCGATGACTCCAGTACGTTCAAAGGCTCCCTCCTCCCAGCGGCCTCCTGCTTGGGAAGGTGGGCCGCGCCTCCCACTTCATCCATAATCAGTTTGGCAGAGGTAGAAGTGAATTTCCGTCTGGTCTTGGGCTTTCTGGCTGAGGAACAGACAGGCCCCCTCGTTTTCTGTCTCCATAGTGTATCCCACACTCCCGTTTTCCATCCCAGAATTCCGCCAGCGAGCAGGAAAGCTCTCCGTGGGAGGCTCAGCCGCCCGGTGCCCTCCAGCCGTGACAGCCCAGCCTCGCTGATTGCTGTAATCAACTCATCCCGCGCCAAGCCCCGGCCGGGTCCTCGGCTCCAGCGCTGGCTTCTTTGAAATGCAGTCGGCATCTGCTGCTGGTGTCCTGAGACTCGGGGTGAATCGGGTGCCTTGAGAAGTTGTAGCTGCTGCTCCTCCATCCAGAATAACTTCCGCGGTGTATAATTCAGCATCGCTCCTCTCTCCGCTGTCTGGATCTGCTCCTTTCTTCACACTCCGTGGAGCGACACACAAAATAACAGCGTGGCAAAAATAACTCCATGGCACAAAATACCAGCGCCCCGGGCTGCATGTCCTCCACAGGCCAGTGACGCACGGGGCCCTGTCCATCCATCCTTCCTCCTCGCACCTGCTTTCTCCCCCCTTCCACCACACGGTGTTGTGCACCGAGACTTGTCTTCCAGGAGATAGTTCACACGGATACGTAGCTAGTGTATGGAGGTGTTTGGGGATGGTTCCAACTGCTCTTGTCCGACCTTCCCTGAAGCTTTTAATTCCTTACGCCCGGACAGGAACGCGTCCCTCTGCTCCTCGAGACCGGCTCTGTTCATAGGGAGAAGCACTGAACTTCCACTCGGGTCGACTGACTCCCAGGTCAGCACCCCAGAGTCCCTACGCCCCGGCTTTCCCTCATCACCTCCTGGGGCGGGGACGGACGCAAAGCCGGCTGGGATGGCAGCACCGACCGTGACAGCAAGCGAAGCTCAGCGTGGCTCTCCGCCCGCGCAGCCCTTCCTCTGACCGGAGGGACGGCGGCGGCGAAGCAGCTGGGATTTATTCCCCAGCCGCTCCCAGGAAGGGCAGGGAAGCTAAGTGCCCTCGCCCGGCGCCCACGGTGCCGGCTTCTCACCTGCCGTGTGTGCCACGGATAGTTATGGGCTGCTCATCTGTGCCGGCCTGGCTGTCCGTTAGGGTGGGCAGCGAATGTGGCAGAGGCTGTCCTTCAACTCCAGGGAAAGCCGCCAGGCACAGGCCAGCCGGTGCGGCCGGGGTCAGCGCTGCGGCCTGGGCCGCGTCCGTTCACTCTTCAGGCCATGAGGAGCAGATGAACGCCTCCCATCTGAGTCCCAGCGTCCGGCCCGCGCCGTGGGCAACGAGGCCTGTCCACACAGGCCGGCCCGAGGCTTTGACGGTGACGGTGACCGCCCGGCACATCATTCCCCAGGGACACGCACACCGCGGGGGGGGGGATGTACGGGGGGGGGACCACACATGGGCAACTTTAATAACACCAAAGCCAAAGCCACCTGCCGCTCTGCAGCGAGATTTCAGGGCTGACACCGCCCCCCTCCCTTTCTCATTCGATTCTGCTGAGTACAAACATGAAATACAATAAAATTAGTGGCAGCATGTCTTTCGAGAAAGGAGACTGATTGAAGACGAGAGGATCAATCCCACCATGGAGATTGATTATTGAGCGTCGGCCCCGCGCCCAGGCAGTGTGGAAACACAGAAGACAAGTTGAGAGCCGGCTCGGCCCTGTGCGGGGGACGCCTGGGAACGCCGCCCGGGACAGCCGTCCAGAAAGATGGCTTCGTCAAGCTTGCCCGGGACGGGGCCGTCCACGCGGCTGCAGAATGAGCCGGCTGCATCAGAGACGAATCCATCCGGGCTTCCAAAGTCAGTGGCTCCCAGAGCCCCTGTCGTGGTGGTTAGAGCGTCTGTGACACGGTGAATCCCAAGACAGGACACGGGACCTGCCCGGCCGAGGACAGCACTGGGGGATTCTGGGAGCACTGTCCAGCGCCGTGTGCACAGGAGACGCATTCGTCTCCGCCAGCCTCCCTGGCACGCCCGCCAGCGCTGAATGACCTCTTGGATGGAGAGGGAGGAAACGCGAATGGAGACAGAATCGGGCATCTACCCCTCACCTCTCATGCGAAGAGCACCGGGAAGGGGCTGGGAAATTACCTGAACCGTGGTAACTGCCATCAGCACGGGTCCCATCCTTGGGACGCACGCCCCTCCCCACCCCGGACGTGTCCTGCGGCCGTCATTGCTAAGCAGGGCTGCGGCTGGCAGGGCCTGGGGACGGCGGGGGCTGCAGCCCGGTGCCAGCTAGGAGCCAGGAATAACCCACCAGGCTGCTGCCAGCTACGAACGGCCAGCGGGGAAAACCGGGACCCTGCAAGTCTTGTTTTGTTTTCATCCAGAATTCTAATTCTGAGAAATGGCATGAGGCGGGGTAGACAGGTAAAGGTGACCGGGAAATGAGGAATTATAAAGGACCACGCTCAGACATTCCAACAGAACCAGGCCTGAAGCCACAAGAACGGGAGAGACAGCGGGTCTGTCTGGGGCCCGCGTTGGGACAGGGCCACAGGAACGCAGGGTCTGTAATGATCAGGGGTTGCTAGGTAACTCAACCAGGTGTCTAGATAGGAATTCGGCATGAAATGCCCCAGAAATACAGTAGCTTAGAAAGAAAACAAAACAAAATGCCTGGAGCGTTTCCCACCCACGGCCCCCGCGGGGGAAGTTCAGGCACTGTCTTCCCGTCTCTATCTTGTCTTATTGAGATAAATATCCCCGCCAAGCCTTCACCCCGGGGCCTCTCTCCTTGTGAGACCCCCTGGAAGGCGGTGTGTTGTGGCTCTCGGTTCCCCGTGGGGTTTACGGGAACTGGGGACTGACGGCTGGCTGGCTGGTGTCTGGGGCCTGGGGGACCCGAGCAGCCCATGCCAGCCGGCTGAATTTGAGAAGCCTCTGCCCACGCCATGTGGCCACTACCAAAAGATAATGGATTTTTGAGTAGACAAATGTGCCTGAGTCTTTGCCATCGCGTGGTTTATTAAATGCAGATTTGAAAGTGCTCAGCTTTATAGGCTGGAGTGGGCTCTTACATTAAGAAGGCAAAGAACCAGCCGGCCCTCCATTTCCTGTAAATACCGAAGAAAAGAGGGCGGTCCCTGTACCGCTGTGTCCCCATACAGCGGTGCTTGTCAGAGTCACCGTGTGGGCTGCCTGCGTCCAACCCCCAAACCCGCTCTCCAGGGAGGGCCGTGACTCCAGGGCTGCTCCCCTGCTCCCGGCCTGGGGCCTCTCCCCAGGTCGCCCTCTGGCCCGCAGCCCTCCTCCGAGGAGGACGTGGGGAACGGGCCTCCCCACAGCTGCCTTGTGAAGGGCTGGTGATCAGTACTGAGAACCTGCAGGCCCAAGGCCCAGCGGGACTCAGATCAGATGCTTCTAGACTTGTGCTTTTCAGCATGGTTCAAAGTGATCATGGCCATGGAGTGAGTCCTATACCTCAAAGGAGAAGCTGTTGAGAAGAAAGACAGAGGCAGACAGACAGGAGCAGAGACAGAGCAGAGGCGGAGCAGTTGGGCCCGAAGGAGGTCCCTGGGAGGGACAGCATCCCCCGCCCAACTCAGCCATGACAGCAGATGAGAATAATTCATCCCACAAAGACAGCTGCTCACACGGGCCCAAACACACAGGCACAAGCATGCACGTAGATATGCACCTACATGCACAACCATGCACATGCACGCACACACCCCACGTGCACACATGTGTGCATGTAGATCATGCACATACCCATGCACACGTACGTGTGCATGCACATGCATGCTTGCACACATGCACCAATGCACATGTGTGCACACATGTACACTCCTATATAGCGCCAGCACCCTTGCAATGCACCTAGATACAGTATAGACTGACTGTCCTCTTCCAAGTGCTTGAGATCGGAAGTGATTCACAATCGATTGGGCCTGGGAAGAGGGGAGCGTTTTCATCCACATCATGAGACATCTTACACCTGCTACCCAAGCCTACGCATGAAAATTCATTTACTTTTCCCATATAACTGATATCCGTAACCAGAAAGTAATTTATGTATGACCCTGGGTCATTCTGGACGTGAAACCGAGCTTCAAAGACTGACACTGGCTCTGGTGGCATCGCATTCCTGCTCAGGGACCAGCTCAGACCTGGTGTCAGCTTGGTGATGCCTGCCGAGTGTGGCCGTGTGGGGGCCTGCTCCAGCAGCCAGCGGCGCCTCTGTGGCCCCGTGCCCAGCACACGCCTCCGCGTCCACCGCCTCACCGCGAATGGACGAGCGCGATCAGAGCCTCCACACTCACCCAGCCGCAGGAGAAGCTGTGTCTTACTGCGGGCAGTGAGGAGAGGAAGGAAGAGACGACAGAAAGACCACACAGGAACTGGGCACGAGTGGCTGACCACAGGATCCATAGAAAGTACCATTCCTCACTGTCTAACGCTAGCAAGTCACCGACACAGGCCTTCCAGAAAGCTCTGTGGAGGGTGTTCTAGGGAGGAGGGGGGGGAGGGGGGAAACAGGGGCATTGCTTCCACAAATGCTTAGAGAAGATTTACTGGTTGATGGTGTCTTCAAAGCCTTCTGGAACCAGGCACAGGGAAGGACAGACCCTGTGTGGACTTACAGCCGAAGAAATGCGGGCCTGGGCCAACTCAACCCATCCGCCCTTGCTTCCTGCCAGTGATTCTGCACTCAGGAAGCCCGGCCTTTGCCCCCAGCCCCGCGGTCTCCAGAGATGACCCTGCACACACCAGCTCCCTGTCCTGCCCCCCACCCCTCCACCCCATCCTCCAGACCCGTGCCTGGGCACCTGCTCGTTCGGGAAGATTACAAACCTTCCGTTTCCGGAGGAAAGGGCAGAGATGGTCCCAGGTCCCGGGTCCCGGGTCCCAGGTCCCAGGTCCCAGGCAGGACGTCAGGTGTGAGATCCCCTCCACCCCGCACCCCTGCACGCAGGGCTGGGTAAGCAGACCCAGCCCTCGCCCACACCCAGCCCACCAGACACAGGGTGACCCGACGTCACCCCGGCTGAGGCCGGCCCCAGCCCCGTTTCACGGCCTGGGTGAAGGTGCTGGGCACTCACCGGGTCCTGGCCGCTCAGCACCTCCAGGAGGCTGTTCAGGAGCTCCACGCAGTGCTTCTTCTCCAGCGCCTGGTGCCCCTCGTCCCTCTGCTGCAGGAGCTCCTTCAGCTCCTTCGTGATGACCGGAAGCAGGATGTCCCGGCACTCTGCGGGGGACACGGGGGCACGCGGCGTGTGGGACGGGGGCATGGGCAGCGGCGTGGGGGGGCAGGCAGCGG